ACCCACTGGCTACGAGACTCCATTAGATGTGACGGCCACGGACGCAACATTTGTCACATCCACAGTGCACCTAACTACTCCTATCATACTCAAAACTAGAGTGAGCTCTAACTCTAAGTTCTCCCTAGTCTCTTCCGAGTTAGAAATGAAAAAACTAACTATTCTACCTGACTATCTGTATCCTACTATCCTACCGGCTTTCAACACTCTCAATCTACGCTCTAACGAATCTAACTTCAACCACTTCGTGATTTGGATCTCGTAATCCACATAACCTCGAAGACAACATTCTACTCTAGCTCTCAAGCCAACAATTGTCTCCTACTCCACACATCAAATGATCACTTCTGTCTCCATCAATTTCGCATGAACAACTACCAACTGACTCTCAACTGCCGACAATTGAGATTGCAAACTTCTGCAATCTGCATCCAACACTCTCTTGCGCTCCAACTCCGAAGACCTGGTAGCATTACAGAGAGATAATCATTCCTCTCAAAGGGCTACTTCTACAACCATCAACCGCTCATGTGTCGCCAGAGGCTTCGTCAACTCCTTCGCTACTCCTTCCCAAGACTACTCCAATCCGTTTTGAGGTTCCTCCTTTATCTTCTGAATTGCGCAGACTTCACCCTTTGCAATCATGTTTCTTCAGTGTACGAAGGGTCTTTTTGGCCATTAACTCTCGCCGAAGATCTTTGCACTCCAACTCCTTCGCTTGAAGTTGCTCTTCTTGCTCCTGCAAGGTATCTATCATGGTCGCACATTCGAAAGTCAAGTTTTCGATTTGTTTTGTCATCCCAACGATTGTTGCCTCCTTTGACTTTGTCCTTCTGCGCATCAACTCTACATAAAAATCCGCCAAAGACGTTGGCATCGAGTACTTTACCATCTTTATGTCCATATACTTCAGCAACGGAACAATGCGTTCACTCAAACAAAATGTTTGGTTTGTCGATTGCTTAAATCCTTGTATGGACTTAAACAAAGTTCCCGACAACTTAACAAACATTTTGATGAGTTCATGCATACGCAGGGCTTCATACAAAGTGCATATGATCATTGTGTGTTAATGAAGCGTGAAGCGTGTTAATTACACAAGTTTTGGCTTCATATTATTCGTGCTATATGTAGTTGACATGCTGATTGTTGCTAAGTATAGGTATGAGATTATTAAACTCAAAATCTTGCTTTGTTTTGAGTTTAATATGAAAGATCTAGGTACTTTTAAGCGTATTTTAGGCATGAAGATCAATAGGATAGAATCATCAAGCAAACTATGGTTGACATAGACGCAGTATTCAAAGAAAGCACTTGCTAGGTTTAACATGTCAAATGCTAAAGTTGTAATTACTCCATTAGGTGCACATTTTAAGCTTTCAGCAGCTTTATGTCCAATTGATGTAACTGCAAAGTGATTGATGTCTTCTATTCCTTATGAAAGTGCACTTGGCAGCATTATGTATCTAATGCTACTCACTAGATATGATATAGCATATGCAGTTGGAAAGATGGGTAGGCACATGTCAAATCTTGGACAAGGGCATTGGAAAGTTGTGAAGTGAATAATGAGGTATATCAAGGATTCTCTTGATATTGAATTATTGTTTGATGCACAATCAAACAATGCAAGTTCGCTCTTGGAGTATGTTGATGCTGATTATGAAGGAGATCTGGATAAGCGAGGATCAACAATTGAGTATGCTTTCATCCTTGTTGGTGGATGCATAAGTTGGAGATCTACACTTAAAAAAATGCATTTTTTAATGCAAAGCTGAATACATTGCAACATTGGAAATAGTGGAGGAGGCAATTTGGTTGAACAAGTTGGTAAGTGAGATGGGCTACCACACAATGATGTGAATCTTTACTATGACAGCCAAAGTGACACTTCATCTAGCATCAAACAATCTGATGGATGGTAGGGTATCGCACATTGATATCCAATATCAGACAAGCAATGTCAAATAGTGCACTTAAGCTCATCAAAATTCATGGTAAATTCAACCCTTCCGACGCATGACCAAAGTGATTTCATTAGAAAGTTTTTCCAAGCATTGTGCAAAGTTGCAAATTTTGCATAGGAATGGTTAATCTAGTAACTTTTGTACAAGTATTCTTCATCCAATTTTTTCCGGCTACGGCTTAGTTCAACTCTTAGCTATAAAGGAAAAGTGTGATTTAGCTTTACTTTCTAGAACTTTCCGCATGGATACATGTGGATTACATTAGTTACTTCTTCAAGAGTTGAGTCAAGAGGGAGTTTGTTAGTTTAATTCTATCTTGGATTAACTCTAGTTAGTAATAACCATGGTTAGGAAAGTCAATTGTGGTTAGTTTAGCTAAGATGTGCATCTTATCTCTTCTTGTATATAAGAGAGAAGAATCATTCACTACGTACAGTTCAGGATTGCGCTTAGAGAGCGAACATCAAAGAGTAGATCTTGGCTTTGAAGGCCGTGTATAAATCTATGCTTCAGTGAAGTTTTTACTCTTGCCCATGGACGTAGCCTATGGAAGATGAATCACGTTATTTCAGTGTTGTCACTGTCGTGCGTGCTGATTGATCTGGATGGTTGGGACTTTCAGTTTAGACATAAAGAAGATTTGGCTTTGACTAAAACATATGAAGTAATTTTATCTATATTTTTTAAATGAATCTAAATTGTGTTATATTTTTTATGATGAATGAAATATTCAAGTTTGTTGTGTATATTTTGAAAGGAAGTTTTGTGATAATGTTAAGAATCACTTTTTATTAAACATTATTGCATGTTGTTAGGCAATATTTATGTGCACAAATATTGAAAATAAACTTATTCATTTTTGCTTTTAAATTAATATTCAAGAATTGCTAGAGAAATTATAAATCATTATTTATCATCTAGACATAAGCATAATCATTTAGAATTTAATACACATTTATTTACAGTTCAAAAAAATCAGCTTATCAAGCTAATCAAGCTAATCAGCTTATAAAATCCTTTTCATTCATGAAATTGGCTGATCAAGATTTTTTCATCATGGCAACGGAGCAATATCAAAAATAGTATGTGATGAATCTTAACTTCATTGATTAAGGTAATGTATACTAAAACACTCTTGCAAATGTAGCCAAATTTCATATTTTAAATAACTAAATCCTTTTCTCAGTTTTTTTTTTGACATCATTATTATTCTAGGATAGATATAAATTTACAGAGCAAGTACACTAAAAAAAATCATGTTAAAAAAACCATGAGGTGATGCCAACTAATTAAATGATGTGTAATAATTATTTTAACCTTGTCATACAATGTATAGAATGAAATATATTATAAATATGAAAACAAAGCAGAAAAACTCAAAATAGATTATGATTGATGTGAGCATTCTTACAATCCAATATTTACACATGGATATGTTTGTTGATCAAGGTGTAATATAATGTCATAAATATTACTATGGAAGAAAAAATACTCCAGAAATATTTTTGAATAACTTGAGATCTTAGTTTGAAGTATACAAACAAATCAAATTGATCATTCTAACTTTCACACATTCCTTTGGAATACCCCATGAGGAATAATGAAGCCGTAGTCATCACCAAGATAATGCTACAGATCAGAGGTTGTTTATTATGTATCTCCTTTTCAAATCCCATAAAATTCATTTCAATTGAATGAAAGCTATACTACAATGCTATGGAGAAATTTGCTTGATGGTATACCATCAGAACGCTGACTGTTTGATGGGATCCAATACGTTCCATTTTATCCGATGAGACCCCTCGGATGGATCACCGTCCGTAATGTTCTTGCAACTGATTTGTTTTCACTTCAATGAAAAGAATTAATTCTTCCCGTATTTAAGTTAGTCATATTTCCCATGGCTCCCAATCTTCATCGTGCAAGAGCCCAATTTCTCAAGCCCCAAAATGATTTTACAGGTATAACGTATGGGCGTTACTTCTTACTTTTTTTTCTAAAACTCTTGGCCCAAGTCAAGTAAGTTGCGTATATTGTTCCGTGAAGTGCATGCGGGGAGAAGTCATTTTTCAACAAAGAGCCGCAATGCTTTTCCTAACCCGGATTGAAAGCAGTTACAACAGTAGAACATTGGTGCCGGTGTATTCAACTGCCTTCCGAAAGGTCCCATCCGATCTTGAATTTTTGACAGCTCAAAACCCAAAACCTCTGTGGGGAGAAGTCATTTTTCAACAAAGAGCCGCATTGCTTTTCCTAACCCGGATTGAAAGCAATTACAAGAACTCGCAGTAGAACATTAGTGACGGTGGACCCATCCGATCTTGAAGTTTTGACAACTCAAAACCCAAAACCTTTGTGTACTTGTGACAATGTTCATCGTTCTGCAACTTGCGATCACAAAGATCCACTAAAACTTGCATCATATGTGTACAGGAATATATTTTAGAATTTCGCGATGGTGTGCTGTCAATGAATTTCCATCGCAAAGAATAAAACTTATGAATCTCATCAAGCAATTTAGGTTTCGTTGGGGTACATCAAGCAAATACCATATCAAGTAAGTTTTTGTGCAATTTAGAATGATGGAATGATAATGTCTGAAAAACAATATAGCCTCAAACAGGCTCAAGAATCTTCCTTGTCTTTTGAATTGTTGCACATGGTGGTACACCTAGTAAATAATGTTAGAGACGAGAGAGATTCATTGGTTCAGTTATTCCTGAGTTAAATTTGTATCATAAAAAAAATAGTACATATGTATAGAAACCAATAAAGTGGAATATCCTTTAAAGATTTTAACATATCATGTCCGGTTGTAAGATATCATCCACTGACGACTTGACATTCTCGTCAAGTGAAAGAACGGTAAACGAAAAAAATTCTTTTGTACATTAATAGGTGACACGTGGTGGGGCTTTTGGAATAATTATGTACCTTATCCATTTCACCCGTAGCCCCACTTCGTCTGTGCCGCATTTTGTTCGAACTCGATAACTACTAACATACACCTTTTGTACACAGTTTTCACTCTTTAACTGAATCTGAAAATCAGGTATTTCTTGAACTTTGCTCTTAATAGAATATAATCAGGTAAATAAGCTCTTGTGACTTTTTCAACTTGAGTTATGAATCTTCCGAAACGTCAAACTCCGACAAACCGACATCCAAGTATGTCGACACAAAATATTGACATTACTAAAATCATGGAAGTTAAGGGCCAGGTCCTCCCTCAGGGTAACTTGTTTTTAAATCTGAGGCATGCTTCCAAACTTGACGTAAAATTATTACTCCGTCACTCTATCACTCGGTCAACAGAGTACACTCCCTACTACCTTCCGATGGGAATGAGGAGTGTTCTGTAGGACATCACTCAGCCGGTGTACTTCAGTGGTTGCGATGAATTGCAGCCCTTGACTCCATAGCACCAGTAGGAGCCACACGCGTAAGGAATTGCAGCAGGGGATGTTCTTCTCGGTGGTCTGTTGCAGATCCACAACGTACCTAATCGGTGATACAGATTGTGTTCATGTAGATGCTTAGCTCGTCAGTTGGGTCTGCAGTGGACTACGTTCAGTGCTTTCCTCTTTTTCTTCTGCTTTATTCGTAGCGAGTCCGTTTCTCCGGTTACTCTGATCTCAGGCTACGAAATGCACATACTAAAGGATTCGAGAGCCTCAGTTGCGAGAGCCTCAGTTGAATCAACGGGTAGGTATGATTCGATGATCGCTGCAACCCACTCATGTAACCACGAAAACACGCGACATCTGTGTTAAAAAACAGGTGGATGGGCAAAAATATCGGGAAGCTCGACAGTCATTACAGCATCCAGCGTCAAGTGTCATACGGCTGACACGAATTCATTCGGCAGTCCGGACTTGGTGCAGGAGATGCACCAGACCGTTGACCCTTCAGTAGCACCATAGCTTGCCGTCAGCCTGCACACCAGGACTGAGCAACATCTTCACCATTTCCACACGTTGGGACAATTCTAAGAAGCATCTCCACTGACCCTGGCTTCTGCCATTCTTCCGGTGACGAGGAGGACACCCGGTTCTCAGTTGACTACAGTGGCTCCTCCAAATGACCTCACTCACTCATCCACAACTCCAATACAGTCACATATCCAATTGTGGAATAACTGTTGAACTCGACCTCAAATTTCAGAAACTGATATCACCAGTTTGGGGCTGTCTTTCAAGCACAACGACTTACTTGTGCGTTCTCTTACCACTTTGTGGCATCCACTAGCCGAATAGAAGTAGGGGCAATTTTTCTTCGGTCGACAGACATCCCTTTGTGTCAATCTGAGTGACATATGGTTCAGGAAGGGAAAACTTAATTGTTACTCACATGATGGCTGGCTCGCTGCCCTTTGACTTTTTACAGTGTCTCCTGATTGCTTCTCTGGCTGAAAGAAGCGTAGCTGTATTCTTGCAGAAAGCCACCCTCACATAACGGTCTTTGTAGCTGTCTACGCTGGAACTGTCAGCGTGGAAAAAACCACAGCCTGGAACGATGACCACTCCTGCACTTTTGATCAGTTCGGCGACGTAGTCAACCTGCGTAGGCCAGAGCACGACAAAGTAAGAACCTGAGTTTAGGGTCTATTCACAAGACCCATACGAATCGCGTAGATGTGATGAAAAAAAAATCCAGGGCGATAAAATTGACCCGAGATGCAGATTCTCACGTCTTTAAGAGGGTACGTTTCGGGTAGCCGAGCAAACACAAAAAATGATCCTTCAGGCTTGTACTGGACACTCAATCCAGCCTCTTCCAGCATTTCACACACCAAGTTTCTTCTGTCTAGATAAGCCTGCGCCAAACATGTCAAACTTTAAAAGATGCAGGCAACACTCACGGACCCGTAAAATACCACGCGATGCAATTCTCTTGACAGATAAATCTGACAACCACTAGGTGAGGTACAAACGTTGGGCACTGCTCTGCTAAGGAGAATGATCACAGTACAGAAGTGAATGAAAGAAGCTATGCACTTATTATCCAGTTCACACATACTGCTCGTAGATTTAGGTAGTATTCCGGGCCACTGGAAAGGGCGGAAACTGCTGCCTCCTGAAATGGGGCTGGGGCAGAATCCACTAGCTTCTCATGAATACTACCGATGGCAGAACTTATTGCTTCTGGTGCGATTGCCCAGCCGATACGCCAACCTGCACAAATAAAGAGTAGGGAAGTATTACAAACTCCTGAAGTTCAACTCTTTGCGTGCAGATAGCATCTTGAGCTAGTCTAGCAGGTCAGATTTCTCATATTTCCCTTTTACGTTGCACAGGCTCAACAAAACAATAGAAATAGCACTCGATACCACCAGACTTCAGACATAGCACGGAATCTAGAACTGAGTTGCTATGGCTTTGTCCAGATTCTGTTTCATAATCAATGCTACCGAGACGTGTGCAACCCTTTGAACGAAAGTACAATACGGAGCCCGATCTACTAAAGAAATTAAGACGTGAACATTCCCATGTAAGGCTCAGCATATGATAAAGAACAGCGCAGATTGTAAGCAGAATTGTAACTCATGTTGGTCACTCACAGGTTAAAGGTAGCAAACTTGATCTAAAAACTTGTCAGCTAAGAGATTCTCATCTAACTTTCAGTAAGTACTGTACGTGAAAGATTATGTGGGTAAGGGTAAGGGTAAAGGGTAAAGGCGGAAAGGACCTGTGACACTGAAAGTTTTTGAAATTGATGATGTCACGATTGTGCGATCTTGCATGCCTGGAAACGTTGCTAGACTCCTGTGTCTTGTTCCTGTGTACACGAGGTGCTCATATACCTGCTTATATGGCAACAACAGCCCTCTTATCAAATTCTACTTTTCATACAGTAGAATTTGAACACTTTGTGAAAGAAGGTAGTAACTTTAAGTGACACTCGTCTGAGTGTAAATAATCATTCAAATTTGCTTCTTGACAGCAGTCAATTGACGACCTTTTATGCTCAAAAGGAATATGCATACAAGGGGTATTGACTCAGTATTAGACTGAGTCGATACCCCTTGTATGCATAAGATCAAAATTACTTTTTTCGGCTTTTGACCAGTGACTCAGAGATCTTGATTGCAAAAAGATCTCAAACGATAAAATTACTCTTTTAGATTGCATGAGTTACCTCGTCCGTGATTGCAAGACAGTCAAATCTGCAGCAAAGCTTGGCAATATCTGCAAGCTCCTCTTCATTGAAGACCTTTCCTGTTGGATTATGAGGACTGAATAGTTGAGAAGTCAATACTTATGTTTAACGTTGTTCGTTCATCTTTACTTCCTGCTGGAAATTCTTCAGGACAAAGTCAGAATATGGCATGAGACGGATATCCAGATACACTTCCCGAGTAAGCAATCAACGGGTAGGTCTGGACAAGATAGATAATATTTTACCTTCATGCATTTCACAAACATACAAAGACCAAGCGTAGGATGAAACGAACCTGTTCACAATGACAGCTTTTGTACGGGAGCCCATGGCATTTTCTAGTCGTAGTATATCCAAGTTCCAGTTCGGAGGATCCAAAGAGACGTGCTTCTGCTGACATATCAGACAAGTGGTCAGCGTGGCTCATGGTGCGCCTCATCACATACGAAGTCTAACAAGATATCCACAGACAGGACTGCTCCAATCACCAATCATACAATGTGGTCTCATCACATTACAAACGTTGCACATGTAACAAAACGTGAGACTATGCGGATATATACGTGCCTACAGAAAATTATGATCTGCATAATAGATTATGCTCAGAATGATTCTGATCAGCCCTACATGGTTCATGTAAACTCACTGCCTTAGCTCCAGCCAACTTGACAGATGCTTCATAGGTCTCGTATGAAGGATCCAGCAGTACAACTTCATCCCTCTCATTGATAACTGCAAGAAATTCGTGAATGCAGGTGACAAGAACCGCCTAAATCTCCAAGACTTTTACATGCTTACTATCTGTGAGTCAATTTGCAGTGAACAAGTTTAGAATAAGCGAAACGTGTCACCCTCGGGGGCTGACGTAGAAAACCTCTAGTGCATGCACAACGGTTCTGTCTTTCGGTTTCGTTCTCAGTGGATGAGAACAACTGATGATCTACATGGATGTACCTGCTAGAACAGCTGCCACCAAGGCTTCTGACTGGCCGCAACAGATGGTCACTTGAGTTTTGGGGTTCACTTTCAGACCTTGCGTCGTCTCGAACATCGCTGCCACCTGGTCGCAGAGACCCTGCACATGCCTACCCATTCACAATAATCACAGAGCAGATGCAGCGGACCTCAAGTTTATGTTCAAGCTGACAAACGAAGTGGCACATGCACTTGCAGCCCACAACGATGCAACTCGGCGTATGGGGAAGACGTGCTGAATCTCACCTGTACTGATTGAAGTCGGCATTGATAGCTGCAATTGCTGCATTCTTAATCGCAGGAGGAGCTGGGAAGTCTGGAAAACCTGCGTTACAACAGCTCGAAACAGAGTAAGTATCGTCATGTACAGAGTAATATATAACTGGCCCAAAAAGTTACTCGATTGTGAAGACTGCAATGGAAACAGTCATGTGAAAATTCTTGAGATGTCAGGGCGAAGGTCGAAGCGGCTCAAATGTAGTCTCGCAGACAAGGTCGCGGCGTGAAACCAGAGAAAGAAATTCAACCGTGGAACCCAAAACCCAGAGTCGCTCTTACATACATACCTTCAGCCAAATTGATGGCGTTGAATTTCTCGGCCAGGCGAGAAAGGTGAACGATGTTTGACGAAGTCAAATTCAATGCACGGTCTGCAAGAAATTGAGCCATGGAGTTCAGTGGATTGCAATGAAAATCCGCCCGCCAGCTACTGCAGTGGTTCAAATCCGACCGATTCAGCAGAGTTCATGTCAGCTGCCATCGAACTCCATGAATCGGGGCTGTTAATTTGCCGGTTTTTTGCTACTACACATTAAACTGAAGTCGCTAAACCTTCAGTGGGCGAGTGCAGACAAACTGGTTCTCACTAACCGCACTGTGCAGGGCAGTATTGTTACTGATTGGCTGTTCAGGACCAGAACCTCTAACTGCGTGACTGCGCAGTTCCACATGTTTAGGACTCCCTTAAACCATCTGGAGATTAGGGGGTTGTCCAAGAGAGCGAGCGTTCGCTCGCCCCTTTCCTTCCTAATTTTGGACCGCCTTGACTGCTCAACAGCACCGTCTCATTCCGAAACCATATCCATTTCACACAGTTCCCGAGTTTCACTTTGCGGACCCAGAGCCTGCCTCGTCTAGTTGCAGAACTCATCCATGAGAAATCAGAAGTGTTGATAAATGCGGGTGGGTACATGTGAATAGTGGAGGAGATGAACTCACTACTTATTCCTGGTCATGGTCTTCCAGATTAATCCTTCTGGTCATCCGTCTTTGTTCTGTATGGATCAACATATAAGAAAGTGACATATATAGTGTTTTGAAGACTTCTTTACGGAAAAAAAACTATCTGAGCTCACTTTTCAGGAACATATAGATCACCACACTGGATGAACTTAAAAATGCAACTGAGCTCACTTTTCAGGAACATGTAGATCACCACACTGGATGAACTAAAAAATGCAACTGAGCTCACTTGCACATGCACTCTTGGTCAGATGTGCCTTAGATACAGAGTTGTTTCATAATTCTGTAGGTTGACAGATTACATTGGAGTAATTCACGAATAAAGCTCATTCTCATTCATTTCCGCATGTGTCTCATGTGGACGATGAGTAGTCAGGATAAGTAGGATCTTGTTCGTGTTTAACATATTACCACATTTATCATCTGCATGTGAGTTGTATTGCATTTCTAATTCATCCAGAACTATCCACAATTTTCAGTTCCAGTTATTCAACTGGAACTGAAAATTGAGTTCAAATAGTTGTTGATCTGAAAGAAAATATCGAAAACGAGTATGTCAACTTCTTCCATTTCTAAATCATAGAGAATAAAGTTTGATTAAAGTTTGCGCGGACGGGGGACCCATGAATAGGTTGTGAGTATTCAGTATGAGTCTACACCATCATAAATAGTATTCAAATTCAGCAGGTCTGGCCACTTATCAACACTTGACATTGCTCATCGTCATAATACTTACATAAATTCCAAAGTTGGAATTTTCGCCAGAAATAATTCCAGAATATCAGAACAACTTTGGTATCACACACGTTGAGAATTTACCATCATATTATGTGACAAGTTGTAAGGCTTTCGTGGCAAGAGTTAAGAATGCAAGGGAGAAGATTCCATCAAGAATGAGGTGGAATAGAAGGTGACTGACAAGACTGAAATCGTTTCAGTTCCAAAGACAGTTTGCTAGTGGACGGTAAACCCTAAACCGACGCTCGTGATGCTTGGATTTCGATGCATACCGGAGAAGTCGAGGGAGGGAGGAAGCGATGAGTCGGATGGATGAGTCATCGGAACCGGGAAGTGGCCATCATGACTACGACGATGGGTCTCACTGCAGACTCGATCCTCCGAAGTGTTACGAAGGGTCGGTCGGTGTTCAGGGCCTCGGGAACAGCAGGACACACTCGCTCTGGCCCATAGCTCGGAGGTCGGGGCGGTACTGACTGAACCCATACAACATTGGAGCGGCAACCGTTCCCCACGGCGGTTTGGACACTGGAACGCGCTAGAAACTTCTTGCGGGTATAAAGTCAATGCCTCGTTGGTGGTGAAGAGCGACAGACATGGAAGTGGAAGACGCGAGCGTGATGAGCAGCGGGAGCGGCGCTGCGCGAGCCTCCGAAGCGGGATCGGGACTGGTCCGGATGGAATCGGCGGACAGCAAACGAGCCAAAGTGGTGCAGTCGGAGGTGGACCGCGTGAGATTGCTGCCAGCTTCGAGCGCGTATGCCATCCATCGCCTTCGTGTTTTGAATAAGATGCTGGACCTGCTCAGAGTCGACCCAGCCAAGCGAACCAAGACGGAAGTCGATGAATTGGAGCTTCTCTTCGCCGGCATGTCGTTCTGATCGTCGATGGCGTTCCGAATTGCGGACCACTTCTTGACCGATCGCCTCCTCTTTCTGGCCATTGACGGTGGAGATAAGATTCTAGCGTTGCCGAGCTAATCGCACGAACAATCATCTTGATACGCGGAAGACCTTCAGGATCCATCACCCTGTATTGCGCTGGCGGCAAGGGCTTATAGGACGCCTTGGGGTCTAGGTGGTAACGTAGCCTGCGGTTTACTGCGTCTTCATCTTTGAGCTTGGGGCAATGACGCAGTTAGTCAGGTGAAACCGAGACGCGTCAATTGCTGGTTGAAATCTATTTCCTGTTTGTGTGTCTGGCGTGACTCCACGAGCTTCTAATATTGCATCTTCTTAGCTGCATGAGCAATGGAGGGCTCCCACTCAGTCTTGTATACATGAACTCGATAAAAGATGTACAGCGCCATGAGACCGCGTTGTCCACATGTATGTATTTGTACTTTACTACTTCTCAGTATTGTGATAAATAATCAAGAAGACATTGTGCATCCTCACGCAAATTTTCAACTTCTGCAGTTCCCCTGACTTTTCTTTTTTCTAAGTTGGAGACACTTATTAGATCCTGAGTGCATTTGATGTTTTTCAGTAGACTGTCAGGTTTGTGTTTGAGTCACTGTCTATGAACTTGAAACTCGAGCTGTGCGCAGAAATGGAGGCCTTCGTGCTTAAACTGTTGTCTTTCCAGAGCCCACATGTCTTTGACTTCGCTCCCTCCTGAAGGTGAGAGACGAAGGAGAAAAGAATGAGCCACGACTAGAAGCTGAACGGAACCAACAAAAGGCCGAACAGTCCCTTTTACCATTCCTGCGCTACTCAGCATCCAGGGATTTAGTACATTCTAACAGTAACCAGTGCAACGTTTTTCAAACCCCCAAGATATTTTTATAAGAGCGGAATACTTGTTTACAGTAATAACCACATTTCTCCGAACTGGAATGGGAGATTAGTAGATGATTAGATAGATTAGTAAACATTTTTGCAAAACACTGTCGTTGTACATCTCTTTTGGCTAGTTAACTATGGCGATGGATTATACATCACGAAGAATAAACCGAAGCAATAAGAGATCACTGTTCCACAAAGTTAACGATTTGGTTGTGGCGTGGATGAAATTAGCATGGGCAAGTGGCATCTTAGACTACAGCGACCTGTACAAACACATCAATGTATGAACATGTAATATTGAAAGGTAGGCGGAAGTATGAAACACACACAGTGTAACTATGTACGAACATTTAGTGTTCGTATATCTATAGTTTGTGAAATACCAACTCACAGGTCTCACCAGGCTATTATCATTCTGCACACAATGTGTAACGTCAAAGCATGAACAATTATGCTTGACAGAGATTTCTGCATTTTCACCATCTCGACATAAACTTAAAAAATCTTGTAATAAGTAGTTTGCCACGATTCAGTTCTACTTTGTCGCACGATCGTGTAAAGTCCTGAAGAAAGTTGATGTTTAAGGATTTATGAATGTGTTCTCACAGCTCTTCTCACGGTCTGTCCAGGAGAAATCTGAAAGTGGAACATTTCAAGCGCTTCCAAACCCGAACATTTTACATTTTACTCCGTCCGCTCTTGCTTATTACAGAATGATCCATTCTTTGGCATCTTCGCTGTCATCTTTGCAGTCCACAAGCAGGAACGCAAAAGAAATGTACAGAAGATATATGTCAAGTTTCAAGCAGTCGATGCCCTTCCTCGTGATCTTAAACTCGACCAACATAACTGCAGCTAATCTTGTCAACCAATCATTAAGACCACGTATACATCCACGTTCAAGGTCAAAGATTTATTTATAGAATGAAACAGACACTAATTACGTGTTTATACAAATCTACTTAGACTACGCAGTCCATGTACAACCATGACACGCCTTGACTGGGTACTCAGCTGAGAAGTGAAGAGAAGTAAAGTTTGCAACCCAGTGATACACGGCAAGTGCACAGCCAATTCGAAGCGCTTCCGAAAAGCTATGAACCAACTCTTCCTCATAGCATGTCCTGGGAAGCTAAAAGCTCGAGCACGCGGACTTGACGGAGATGGTTTATCAGCTCATAAGCAAAACTGATGAACAGGAATCTGTAGATTAGGCATTCTAAAACTAAATGCCTAATCTTTGAGAGGAATTCATCAGTGATGAAAGATCCGAATGGTCTTCATCATCTAGCGTACAAGTGTCGCCAGGCCTTCTTCTAACTCCAAGTTATGGAGACTCGTTCGCGGAAATGTAGATGGCAGATTCTGACACCGGGAAGTTTGCTCGTGAATGTACAGAGATGTGACAAACTTCGGCACAGTAATTTCGAACTCCACTTGATCAGCTTAATCAAAGGACCGCTGAAGCGGAAATCAATGTCAAGCAGACATCGAGGAACTAGAACGGGAAAGAGTTGAGTCGAGCAAGTAAGCAAATGTGGGCACGGCTGATAAGTTCGTAGAATTTGCGTCTGGACATTGGAAGAATCTCAGAGGCTCTCCAGTACCACAGTTCACTTCTTCCGAATAATAGAGCCTGCCATTCACCGAGCGGACAAAATGAACTGTGATGTCAGGATGTAGCTTTCAACGTCATCCATAATTCCTCCGATGGCAATAGAAATGTCCACTACAAGTACCAAAGGTCAGTAAATGGAAGCCACGAGGAAATGGTGAAAGCTGGGAGCGTACACTTCACCGAATATACTGTTGAAAACAATGCCAGTACCAGTAGATTCCAGACGAATGCAAAACGTGCCGAGGTTCAAAGTGTAGGATTTCTATGGGTAATACATGTACCTCAGATGGCGTCCATGGGAGACAGATGTGTGGCGAATTAGTTCGCAACGGGCACCTTCTTCGCCGGTTGCTGCTTGCCATCGCCGGCTTCGACGACGATGTCAGCTCCTGCTGCAATTGCAGCTTTCCTGTCTTCAGAGGCCACTTCTTCCTCGTCGTCGTAGTTCGGATCCTTCTCGTCCAATGCTACGACGGAGTCGTCGTCCTGTGACTCTTGCTGGGCCGTGGGACCTCCCCATGTGAACTTGCCTCCGTGCCCGCTCTTCTTCGGTTGCCCATGAACACCCGCCGCCGACCGCCTGTCCAGCCTCTCGGATCCTTTCTTCACGTTCTTCGTGTGCTCGTAAGTCTCATAATGATGCGGGTGGACACGCCCTTGGTCCAATGCATCCATCCTCGACGTCTCTAAGCAAACAACTGCAACAGATCCACAATGCCTGCATCAAATTAAGCCACCCACAAAGTTCGATCCGGCGTACAAATCTAACCACGTTCCGGTCCTTCCTCACTCACTCCCTTCATGCCCGCTGCGAGCAAAACGACTCTAACCACCGCCAACCACAGCTGGATCCGACATCATCATCCGGAATTCGCAGCTCGAGCTCACAACCATCCGACCATGAGACGAGTTCAGATCGGTGAGAAAAGGACCGAAACACCTTGTCGATTCATAAGTAAGTTTGAAAGTAAGTACACGTCAGTAAAGGGAGTGAAGAGAAACAGAGACTCACCAGTTTAAGGACGATCAAATGCGAACGCTGCGTGGCCGCGTAGAGTGGAGTGGAGAAGAAGATGGACGGGGTGAATTGAGTTGTTCGTTGTTAGACCAAGGGACGAGTAGTAGAAGTAGCAAGAGCCAGAAGGGAGCCGCGAAGTGGGGCCCACGGGAAGCATGGGTGCTCGTTCCCCCGTGACTCAGCACGAGTCTATCCGACACGTAGAGAGAGCACGTTCTCTCGGTCGCCAGCGGGTAAGTTTTCCGCTCATTGGTCACCCTGCTTACTCCTGCGACTGTACGAAACAGCACTCCGGTTCGCTAGATCGCTCGATCCGACGGTTCACGAGTGGTCCTACTTGTCACAAGCTGCCGATAGACGCCACTTGTCAGATGCCTGCAGATGATGCCCCTTGTATATCCTGAATCAGATCGCCGACAGCAAAGTCCTCTTGCTCCGATCATGCGTGTACTTCAGATTCTACTGAATCGAGATTTTGAATGCAATAAGACTCTGTACTAACGGAGATCGTAATGGAGAAATCGGTGTATCACATTGCTAGCCGCTTGGGCTTTGCTCGCATCATCGATGAGATCGTGCTCTGAGAGATTACTCGGTTAGAGGATAATTTCTGACCATAGTCTACGAACTGTATGATAAGCATGTACCTTTGCGTACGTACATCCAGGATATGCGCAGGAGCGGTCTTGCATTTGGATTCAGCTGTCCGGGTGGAGGCAGTGCTTACAATGAAATGCCTGACCTTTTTGAACTTCAGTAAATAAAACGTTTGGATGTTAGCTAACTTGAAAGCATCACTGTATTTTGTGTCTCGTTTGGAGACGAAACGTTTTGGCTACTAACAAATTTTCTGCTCTGTAACATGTTTGTGAGTTATAGTAGCTAGACCAGTAAATGTATGGAGTCATGAAGATAAGAAACATTAAGCTGCGCGAAAGAATTTTTTGAGGCCCTGGTGGCACCAGAGCCTCAAAAACTTCTTTCGCGCATGCAGCAGGCTGGTGCATGTGGGGAACATCGTTTGGACCTTGGATTTCTACTCACGCCGGTAACCGGAGAGTGTTTAGTGCAGATTTGAAGATTCGTCGTAAATACAAAAGTATGAGCTTACCTTTGAGTTTTATGATTGGCGAGGAGGAGGACGGGAGCCAGCAATAAGCCAAAGGATACTGAATTGCACCTGTTGCCTCTACTAGCAGTTTTTTACGCCTTCTTAGGACAGGTATGGTTGACAATGTACCATCTTCACCACTATAATATCTGTGAAGAAACTCCTCTGCAAAAATCCGCACGGATGTTAACTCAGGAATTGCTCGGGGATTCCGAGCTTTTGCTATGTGTAATTCGATTGCTTACTGAAGATGCGAAGTCCGATAAAATGAATCGTAGATTACTTGCAAAGATCACTCTGTCTTCTGGGTCGTTGTCTGTATAACTCTATTTCTGTTTCGATTGCATTTGATTTGAATTCTAGCTACTTAAAGCCAAAATTTAAATAGTATTGACATTCAAAACTCGACCGTCTTTTGCGAGATTGGCCGCATTGTACAATACAGGAGGAGATTCTAAGTGTAGAGGAAAGGAGATATCCTCACAACAATCAAATAACCGCATTGCATTGGAAGGAGGGAATACGGAGCCTTCACATGACAGCAATGTGCACTCATGTTTTCTTGTTTCTCCTTGGCACCAAATCATTGTCAAATTTAGGTGTTGATAAATGTACATCACCTTTTTGATATATGGACATCACACTCTCCTTCTCGTGCCATTGCCCCCGTAATAGCTTTTGCCCGTAGTGAAAGCTACGAGGTGAAGATTGGGAGATCAGTGAAAATCGGCAACCGCAAGGAAGGAGAAGTAAAGAGTATGCATATGTTTTATGGTCACGGCAAGAAGCGTATACTCAAGGAGATCTACATCCGAAGTAGAACGACGGACGAACATACTGTCCCTTTGAAGTAGTAGTAAGACGAGACTTGGGAGAAGATGATGCCAGTGGCGGTTTTGATGAAGCAACCGTCACCACTGGCAGAGAGCAATGGAACAGGAAAACTCCTGATGTTATGCTCTGCAAATTGATGGCAACCACCACATTTCCTTCTCTTTGGCGGATTGCTTGCAGCCCCTTCTCTTTCAAAGGCTGTGGGATCGCGCTGGTTGGAATTTTGGCTCCGAATTTCCTTGTTCAGCGCACCAGCAGGTCGTCCTTTGGGTCGCATGATGGTAGGTTCTGAGGGTGACATGTACGTCGTCGCATTTCAAGAGCTCGCTTTAAACCATGTTGCTGATGAGGAAGCATGTGGTCGTGCCTGTCCACAAGGTTGCCTATAAGTTGTCCAAAGCTTCTCTCAGGTGCGCACTCTGCAGATCCGGAGATGACGAGTGCCGGGGCCGAATCACAGGTTGGTGAAGCCACCATTGCTGATGAATATTTTGCAATTGAAGTTGTTGGTTTGAGACACGAAAGTCTTTGAACATTTATGCACATGGGATGGCTTTATTTACGGATAAGATTCAAGTACAGTGACTATCTTTGGGCAGTGACAGCAACTTTTGATGTTGTTCTAAAGCCTGGAAAGGTAGAAGAGGAGAACAAAAAAAAACGATTTAAAAATTGATCCAACAAGCGCAACAAACAAACCAACCAAAGAATATACCAATCAACTTTAACCAGCAAACAAATGAAAAAACAACCGAACAAAAAACGAATGATCGAACAGAACTTACAAAGTTCAAGGCATGATGAGAAATTTTCTTTGAGACATGTTCTCAAGTTGAATTCGTTGACAGTTGATTCAATTTCCTCACGCGATGGGTTGCAATTGTTCGCTTTATAGGCATTCATTGTTGAGTGTTGTGCAGTTCAAGCGATTCAAAAAGCGATAGCAAATCCCTATTGGAAACATTAACCCATCCCTTCAAAGTTGCCTGACCTCCTTCGACACGTGAAGTTACAATATGTCCAAAGTGAGTTACTTTCTTGAACCATGGCCCTCCAAATTTCACTTTCACTGATAACCAATTGATCTACGCCACTACAACATGCATGGATGCTTTGATCGACAATCAAATGGCTTCCAATTTTTCCTCTATGTCGGTAAAGTATAACAATTTCCAGGTTTTCATCAAGGTCTCAAAATTGTCACCACGTGGAAAGTGTTTTTTGACATTGGCCGAAATATTCTTGTTGATGTGCCAAGTGCAGAATAATAAGCTCGCTTCGGGGTATTCGATCTTGGATGCATTGATGAGTGTATTTTCCTTATCGGAGAGTAATTCCAGTTTTTTTTCTTCTGGAAATGAACTACAAAAAAGTCGTCAGAACTATCTCATCATCCAAAGATAGTCGGCTGTTGCTTCGCTCTTCATTATGGCGTAAAACGACGAGATTGACTGGTGTGTTAACAACACACCTAGCCCATTGAGCATCGGCATGTTGTACTGTCGATTGACAAAATCGTCTAAAGATGTTTGCTAATGATGCATGACGACAATGAACAAATAATCGCGTTCTCATATAACTTACTTGTTAACTTTGTATGTACAATCAAACAAATGAACAGAGTTTGTCGATTCTTTCATCAGGTCTTTGACACTCTTCGGAATCATAAAAAGATGAATGATTCTCCCTTCGAAATCTCGTTGAATTTCATGGTCAATCCCCTTCTCGATCAGCATATCAAGCAGCGCCTCAAGTGAGATACTTCCAGCAAGCTTGTACTTTTTTACTTTTGCACATTTGTTGTAAAGATCACGGCTTGTAGGAGAGGCGTCAGGGTTAGATTCAGATTTTGAAGCCACAACAGCGAGAGTGCTCAAAATCTGCTTTGGAACAACATAAGCGAGGGTAAGTTATTCGGTCATTAACTTTTATTCTGACTTTAACCTTGTGGCCGTTTGGTACGCCGAAATATCTTGAGGTTCGTGGTTGTGAGATCCGTCTCTCACTTCGACTTTTCATTGCTATCTGCCTATGATGACGGCTGCTTCATCAAAACCACCACTAGCATCACCATCTCTCAAGTCTCGTCTTACTACCACTTAAAAGGTACAGTCTGTACATCCAGTTGTTGTCCTTCGGATGCGAGTCTCCTTGAGTATATGCTTCTTGCCGTGAGCACAAATCAGATGGATCCTCTTTACTTCTCCTTCCTTGCGGTTGCTGATTTTCACTGATCTCCCAATCTTCACCTCGTAGCTTTCACTACGGGCAAAAGCTCTAACGGTGGCAATGGCTTCCTCGCTTGTTGCAAACGTTACTGTAGGTGGTGCGTTCAAAGTCATCTTTGCTCTTTGCGTTTCGGGATGATCTTGCGATTTTACTAGAAGTGCATTTGATGGCGAATACTTTCTCAAGATTTCTCGGTGGTGTGGCACGGTCACCAAATGCGTGGCGCAGTCATTAAACGGATGGAATGGGATGATGTCCATATATCAAAAAGGTGTGGTCATTTGTCAGCCCCCTAAATATATTTGAAAAATATGTCCAAAATCTTGCATTTTTCTCCTTGATAATCTTGGTATCAAACTTGAGTATGAACAATTGTTAGAATATATACTCCTCGCTCATCTTCACTATATCAACTTCTTTATCCCCATTCTAGAAAAAACTTCATAACAACAAAGACTCGATCTTGAATTTCATCATTTGAGGAATCCTCGGATGATAAATTTTGATCGTAAGTTGAGAAACTTTCATCTTGAGAAACTTTCATTTTACTTGCTTTCGGAATTCCAATAAGCATGTGAAATTTACTTCTTATGTAAATGGAACCTTTACCCCATTATTATTTCAACCTATACAAAGATAATTTTTGTACCATTGATCAACATTATTCAAAGCCCTCAATTAAAAATGTCCCAACAGCAAATCATAATTAACTTCTTCGAACACTTTAAATGATAGCAAGTCATAACTAACTTCTTTAAGCACATTAAAGAATAGCAAGGTATAAATTTCCTTCACATTCATCACAATTTTGTCTATCTCATAATATAGTATTACCTTGTGTTTGTTGGCCATACCAACAATTATATTACAAAGTCTATTATTTCTCATTTCCAATTTGAGCACAAGATTTCTTGATGAAATTTTGATCGCCACATAGTTCAACTTCCAATTTACGATTGTACAAAGTTTCAAAACATTTATAAATATAAAGAAACTCATCAACCCTATACACATTTTTCCGAAAGCTTATTTTTAGTAACCGTCAAAAACTCTTGAAATTGTAACCATTATAGCATAGTCCATTGATTCTTATTTTGCTCATTATTTCCTATGCAAGTTTTCTTAAAATTTCTAACAAAGTATTCTTCATCTTTATTCTTTCTTTCTCCATAAAATTTAGAAGTTTCCACGGTTTTAGCTTTTATCTTCTGTTACAAATTTATATGAAACTTCTTTCTACAACACAAACAATACTAACTATATCTTTGAATATTTCATTAATGGCAACGCAAAAGAAATTGGTTGATTCAATATAGTCATACTTCTCTTCTTCTAAACACACGATGTATCTTATCTTCTCAATCATCTGAATGATGATCTTCGTCTTCATTCGGAGATTGAGCTCAGCAAGATTAACCTTTACTTTTTTGCACTATGCTTGCCATTCTAACTTTTCATTTGTGTCTCAACGTTAGTCTAATCATTTCACTATTGTCACAATACGTCACGTTTTGATAATTATGTGGAGAATATGATCTCAAATAAAGTTTCAACTTTTTCAAGTTTCTTTGAATACTCAACCTCCAACCTTGTTACGCAAAAAAAACTAACAACCTTGTGTTCTTACTCTTCATAATAAAAGTATGTTTCATCTTTCACTCTTGAAGATTGCTTTACTAGTCTCTTCTCAATTGTACTTTTAATATCCTTGTGTTGAAATCTAGAGACACTCTAACATCCAAACCTTGAAGTACTTTACACTCACTCATTTTTCATTAAGATGAAAATCACTCAAAATATTTCTCACATAACACTCTCTAAATGATTAAAAATCTCAAATAATTTAATCACAAATTTTTGCGTTCTAAATTTTCTATTTCTTAAACTTTAGAAGATTATAACTTACTCTTCTAACGTGATTTCTTGATGTAATTTTGATCACCACGTACTTTAATTTCTACTTACAATTGTACAAAGTTTCAAAACATTAAAAATACAAAGAAACTAATCAACTCTATACACATTGTTTTGAGAGCTTATATTTGGTATCGGTCAAAAACTCTTGAAATTCTAACACTCATTACTTTGATTACACATGGAATTTATACCTGAAATAAAAACTATAACATATTTAAATATTTATTCTACAATCACTAAAAACTTTAATAATATTTTTGAAACAAAATTTTCAATTTTTAAATCCCTTATACTTTCCCAAAGCAACATGTTTAGGTGAACAAAATGTTGAAAATAACTTCGAAGTTATCATAGAAAACTATTCAATACTATAATACTTTCAAGCATATCTTTTGTTTTCTTGTTTCCTAATGTCAAAGTCATATGTGCTTTTATTATTGACTTATCTCGGCCAACAAATTGCATCCAAAATATTTTACTTCTAAATTGGCTTCCTTGCAACGGAATAAAAATTGTGATCTTCGAACTAACTTTCACTCAAATTTATCATAGATACTTTTTTGATAGATTATCATGATTTTGAAAGAATAAAACTTTTACATTTGTTTGTTGAGGAATTGTTCCTATACAAACTCTCCACTCATCATTCAATTACAAATATTTATCAATTGCGAAGGTAAAAAAGGCTCAAGAGTCGGGTTTTGTTGCTTATTTACACGATGGGAGAGCAATCGTTACTCAGAGGAGGAGGGTGTCGTCAACATAGCAATCCGAGAAGCTAAGGGTGTGGTGTGAAATATCCGAGGACTTTCAACAGCAAAGTATGTGAGTGCTGCTCCGATTTGGAAGATGGCTGACGTCATCAACATTGTGGAGACTTGGGAACATGAAAGCAATACTATTGCTGAGTTGGAAGGTTTTACCTTGCTGGGTTTGACATGGAACCAGAGAAGACAGCATGCGGAAAGGGGTCAAGTAGGTATTGCTACTTTCATCAGGTCTCATCTTCTACCTCTCATACATCTAGAAGCTCAAGATGTCGGTGTACAATATCATTGGCTACGTCTCGGTGTGGTTGGAGGATCTTATTGCTATTTGGCAATTTGTTATCTTGCACCATTGTCCATGGGTATCTACTCAACACGCTTTTGCAACCGAAGTGAATCATTTCATCGGCTTATTGAAGATGTTATTATATTTTTTGGAATCTAATAAAGTAAAGGTCATGTCTTTCTTGCTGGAGATTTCAATGCTCGTATACGTTGTGCTCAATTTACTCAATTTAGTGATACATTGGCTTCTTCTATGTTTGAA